GTACTGTATATTCTGTACCTAGTTTAACTCTTACACACGGATGTGGTCGCTCTTAGTATTGACTCTACATTTTATAACCGCCCTAAGGTTGTGCCTAGAGCGAGGACACGAGCTTACAGTGAGTGAGGACAATGCGAAAAGACGTTTTTCCCGTCATTTACTTTAATAAGCACTGAAGAAATACATAATTTAAATTGTTATTTAACGTTTATCATTTTGTGGAAGGTTAAAAAAAATATAAACCATTCGGAAGATACGATAAAAACACAACGGCACTTGATGAACAAAAAATAATCATGATGAATATTTATTCGCTCCAATCGTGAAATCAAAAGTCATGATGATTTATTGAAGTGTGCGGCATTATTGTAGGTAATATATTCTTCTACCAGCATAGAGTTTCAGTACATTACTGCTTAAAGAAATCTCTACCAGATGACTCCGCCAGCGAGCTTCTGCAGCTCCCGCGGACAGCAGGGTCAGGGCGCCGATAAGGCGGCGCGCGATAACCCGCGACGCGCAGTATTTATTGTTTCTACCTACTGCTTTACGTAACTCGGGCTGATTTACTGTTTTTTATATTAACTTGTCTACTACGCTAAAGATACGCGGTTGTTATTAGTGCGATTCTGTTTGAACTTTTTCAAATTCTAATGTTTAGTAACATTTTCAACGAATCTTACGCGCAAAACTTATCCTTTATTCTAGTCACTCACGCATGCAGCAGTGTTAGAATTGTTAAGTAACGTATCTTGCCTATCAATTGACAATAATCAACATAATATCTCCAGTATTTTGTAGAAGGGATTACGCATGATTAGGCTTTGATAAAACAGGAATTCATTTCAATGATAAATAAAGGTCAAATTTTGCTAAACTCACGTGTACGGTAAGGATGTTTAGATATCTCCTGAAAAAGTAGTAGCATATCGCGAGCAGTAAGCTTAGTAATATGAGTATATTTATTAGTGCAGTTTATATAAATTACAAAAAGTCTTCTAAAGAAATGTCTTATATTTTAAGTATTCTTATCACTAACCTAACTAAAACTGTTATCATGTTGTCAACGATATTTTAGAAAACATCGTCCATTTAGCCGCTACTCTGAAATTAAAATTTTACGATCTTGCTCGAAAAGAAAATCGTTTATTTTTCCTCTCGCGCGCGGTGTGCGGGGGCCCGGCGCTACGTCACCGCCGCGCCTGCGCCACGCTGTGCAATACATCATGTATTATTGTACCGCGCATGTGTGCGCAGGACAAGACGAGAACATTGAGCTTGAGGTTTGTGGTAGAGCATATTGACGTGTGTTGACAAGGAGAACTTTTTTTTTTTTTCTATATAGGTTTTACGGCTTTGGATATACAGGGTATTTGGCGCATCGTGTGCCAAAATGATTTGGCGGATAGAATGGGTCATTTCCTATATTTTCAGCCCCCATAACACGTTCCATGTCAGGCGGCTACTTTAATATTAAGTTTTTTAGTAATTTCACCAAAATACCCAAATCGCATCATTTAATTTCGATTAAAAAAAAAACTACTAAGCGTAGCCTCAAAGTAAATATTTTGTTTTGACGTGCATTGATATAGGGTTGGATCAAATCTAAATTTACTGGCAAATATCATCAAGTTTTTTTTTAATTCAGCTTTGAACTTTTCCGAAAAGTTAAAAATGGACTGAACATTTAAGTTTACATGGCTATAAATTTTTTTTTAAAAGAGATAGCGATCTTCGGATTTTATCAAAACTTCTCTAGTCTATCCCCATTCAAACGGTATACTAATCTTGTTTAAATAATAACAACAACTTCACAAATTCCCTAAATTAGTGCATTGACTCTATTCGGACTGATTTGCGAAATTTGTGTTTAAAGCCCCTTTTTATGTGAATAACACGTTAAATACCTACAGGTAAAAATATTTATCTTATGCAATGTAAAAACTTTTTCCCTATCGTTTTTCAACGTGGTTTTCTTGAAATTAAAGACGAAAATAATTATTTTGATCGTTTATTAATTATTACAAATTTTGTTCAAAATGTCCGCCTCGGCAACGTATACACTAAGTAACGACATCTTCTTCTAATTTAGACTGGCCCTATACAGTGGCCTGCACGTTCCCCAGACCTAACTCCGTTAGATTTTTACGTCTGGGGACGAGGTAATGAACTGGTGTACGTAACGGAAGTTCAAACATTAGAAGAACTACAACAACGAATAGAAAACGCCTTTATAGTAATAAAAAGAGAAATGAGGCTGCATACGACAACAGTCGAAGATGTCGTGAGTGTATACGTTGCCGAGGCGGACATTTTGAACAAAATTTGTAATAATTAATAAACGATCAAAATAATTATTTTCGTCTTTAATTTCAAGAAATCCACATTGAAAAACGATAGAGAAAAGGTTTTTTACATTGCATAAGATAAATATTTTTTACCTGTAGGTATTTAACGTGTTATTCACACAAAAAGGGGCTATAAACACAAATTTCGCAAATCAGTCCGAATAGAGTCAATGCACTAATTTAGGGAATTTGTGAAGTTGTTGTTATTATTTAAACAAGATTAGTATACCGTTTGAATGGGGATAGACTAGAGAAGTTTTGATAAAATCCGAAGATCGCTATCTCTTTTAAAAAAAAATTTATAGCCATGTAAACTTAAATGTTCAGTCCATTTTTAACTTTTCGGAAAAGTTCAAAGCTGAATTAAAAAAAAACTAGATGATATTTGCCAGTAAATTTAGATTTGATGCAACCCTATATCAATGCACGTCAAAACAAAATATTTACTTTGAGGCTACGCTTAGTAGTTTTTTTTTAAATCGAAATTAAATGACATATTTGGGTATTTTGGTGAAATTACTAAAAACTTAATATAAAAGTAGCCGCCTGACATGGAATGTGTTATGGGGGCTGAAAATATAGGAAATGACCCATTCTATCCGCCAAATCATTTTGGCACACGATGCGCCAAACACCCTGTATATCCATACGGCCAATTCTTTCTTGTATTGCACTGTTTGGTAAAACATCTCAGTGTGTTTGTTTCTGTGTTCTTCTGTGCGTCTGTGTCTATTTTGTTCTAAGTCTTCATTGTGGTCTTCATAGTTCTATTGATGTACTAGTAATGTACTGATAAATATGGAGATATGAATTTTCGTTCGCTAGTAAGGATGGCAAGAGGCGGGGAATATTTCCATCTTGGTATATCTTTAGTAAGCCACCCACTAGCAGTAGCCTCTCCATTTTAAAGGCTGGACATTGTAGAATCATATGGTCTAGGTCTGCAGCGTCTGTCTGACAATATTCGCATTTGTCTGTAGAGACCATTCTCATCCTTTTTAAGTGGGCTGGAAATTTTGCGTGTCCAAGCCTTACAAGAAGAACCAACTCTAAGGGCTTGCTGAAATGACGCAGCGTAGGTAGAGCAAACTAGTAAAGCAGCAGACAAATACCGTGAACTGACATTATGCTGCATTTGGTATTGCGTTATACCTTCCTGTGTAGCAAGTCCTCGACATGCTCTATGTCGAGTATCCTGTCTCTACATTTGCATACATCCGGAAAACCAGCAACCTTTAAAAGAAAAGCGGTTCCCAAAGTATGTGGATTTCTTGTAGATCTGGACCCCTAGGGTGTGCAGAAGTAATAAATATTTCGACGAAAATGCAAATTATTACCTACACTACACTCGTAATCAGCTACCTCGAACCAGTTCTTAATCAGGGTAATTAAAGTCACCCACAAGTAAGATAGATATTGCTATCGCTCGCCGAAGAAGTGGATATCGATATAGATTAGATGTCTGAAAGCGCGCATTTTTGTCAAATCTTAATGCCTGTTATCCAACCACATACCTTTTATCTACAAGTGAAAATACGTGCATAAATATAGCTAAATGTTTGTTTTGATTGTACGTACGTTGGTACTAGGTGTCTCTACGTTTGCTAGTATTAGACGATCATATAAATTGAAGTTTATTTTTCATGGTTTTAATACTTTGTCTGTCTTGAATAATCGCTGGAATAGTAGAGTCAACTTTATCAATGACTTAATATTTTTTTTTTGTAAAAATAACAATCACTGAGCCGCCAGCAGCTGGAGACAAGTAAAAATTCAGTTTCTAAATGTAACTATTATGTCTGCAAACACGTATTAAAAGCTTTTAGTTTGAGTTTAGCATAATTTTCCTTATACAGTTATCTCTCTTTTTAACAAATATTTTAAAAACAAGGCGTTTTGTAATAAACATAATAATAAGCTATCAATGTTTTTATAACCCGTGAATTGTCGTCGAATGATATTAAAATGTCAGTCGGTAAATATTTTTGTAGTACACAACTCTGGAAAAAATCAAATGTGATGGACAGCTATTTATTTAAGGGAATTCAAACATGCGTGTGTTCCGATGGGTGCCTGTTTCACCTGTTTGTAATTTCTTGAGCAAAACCACGTGCTAAGGCTAGTCTTATATTAAAACTGTCATGTCGCCACGATTTGCGTTTCAGTTTCTATATTTACTGATAAGCTAATCATAGGAAATTTCATCGGGTCAAGCAATTCACTATCGCCCTGCGACAGGTGACGCCGGGTTATCATGTAGATACTCGTATGTTGTAAAAATGCTCGTATTTTAAAATTCGGTACATTTTTATGAAAAAAAAAACAAAACTAATATTTTTCAGCATCATCATCTTTGGTTTGATAGACTAGTTTTATGATTTGATCATTGGTTTTACTGAAAAGTTGTTTCTGAAACCGATAACAATTATTTTTTTTACCATCGCAGGCCCCAGAATATGAACACGACTTAAAAGGAATTACGGCACAGAATAATAATAAGTTTTTTTTTTTTTTTTTTTTTTTATCCACAACGAACGAAGTACTACGTATAGGGGCTCAATCAACTATAGTTCATAGTTCTGTGACTCCTAAATCCCTGACGGACTGTGATGAGGCGTTCTTTTACTCAAGACCAAATTACTTTAATTCCAGATAATCCACTACATTAGCAGCCATGTCGACGGCAGTAGAGAACGGCGTGGTGACCGGCGTCAGCAACGGCGTGCCCAACGGGCTGCTGGAGGCGCGCCTCAACGGGCACGTGCACGCGCACGCGCACGCGCACGCCGCGCTCGCGCACGACCGCTGGGACGAGCAGTTCCTGCCGCCGCCGCTCAGGATCGAAGACCAGGCGCGCGCGCTCAAGGTAAGCCTCCCCAGAGTCTTCACTCCAGTCTTCATTGGCTTATCAGAAGATTTGCCTAAGAAAATTCTTCCTCTAATTCGTCGGATAGAAGTGGATAGATATACGCAATTGCATCTGCAGATGCGGTTCTTTACAGTTCACAAGGGACAAAGTGAAGGAGCATCCTTTAGAGATAAAAATGAGATGGTGAAAGTGGTAAAAGCGAGTCGGCAATACAATGATAGTAAGGTTCGTAGTTATGTGTACTCATACGAACAAGTTTACACGTATATTGCAAATTGTGAATGACCATAGTTCAATCCGGATTCCGGAACGACATTGTAGTTATCTAGTTTAGAGTTGAACCGCAGATCAACTCGTTTTAGAAGGCGATTACTGCATGCCACGCGCCATACACGTACGACCAATGGACGACAAAATAATAGCTTCCGTTTTCCTTACACGTACGTATAGGACTAATTTAGCAGTATTACGTACATGGAGTTGGAGGTATACCAGGTGCGATTGTGTTGCCATGAAAAAACCTATACAGTCATTAATAATTGCTTCTATATTATGTACGTATGTACCTAAGTATAAAATTATGTCATTTTAAATAAATAAAATTTAAAAAATAAAACAAAAATAACAAAACTTAGTTCAATGTTATTAAAAATGAATGATGTTATAAGAGATCTTGTCAAGCATCTATAGGCACTCTACAATAATTATTGTAGCAATTCAACATGCACAGGTGTTCTCTGAATATTTAAAAAGTATTGAAACAAAATAAATATAAGACATAACATAAATCTTAACATCTGTATTTGTCTTGAAAATGCCCACAAAAATTCTTTATTTTCATTTATATTTCGTTTTCAAACAGATCTACTATGTCTCTAGATTATTTGCTTCTTCTTATCACGAGACCAGGGGACATATTGAAAGAACTCTAGTTGCTAATATGCTAAATTTCAATTTTCAACTGAATAATGTTTGCTTTAAATTTGCAAGTATGCTGAAAATTTCATTATGAAACACGTGTGTATTTACTACGAGTAAAGCTCGAAATAGATTTATGATACGCAATAATAATATCAAAAGGAAAGTACTATGTCAACCAATGATTTTGCTGATACAGTAATCTTTTAATGTCTTTTAAAATGTAGTGATCTTTACTGTTTCTCATAAAACGAAAATAAACTAACCGTGTAGGTCGGTTTCTACAAAAATAACATTGGCGCAGTTTACTGAAAAGCATTGCCTTTCATTTATAAAATAGAAGCGCGAAAAACAAAACATTTTCGACGGAATTTAAAGCATTGAACTAAAAAATGTTTTATCCATTCTCCGTGCGTTGTCTAGGCGTATAAATAGCCGCCACAGATTTAGGCACGGGCGCATCGCCGCGTACCCACTCCACGCCGAACAACCGACGATCTTGTCAATAACAACTGATAAAATCCACTGAAACTACGTGTATGATTAAACTGTCTCGGGGATCTTAATATCACTTTATTGCACTTCACTTTTCAATCAAAGGCTATTCACATCAGTACCTCTAGTAAGAAAAACTTTCGAGTTCGTTTCGTTGCGTATTCAAAGTGTCATCGAAAAATTTTGTATGAAAAATTAAACAGCGCCCCCTAGGGCGGCTATAATATAGGGGGCGCTGTTTAATTTTTCATACAAAATTTTTCGATGACACTTTGAATACGCAACGAAACGAACTCGAAAGTTTTTCCTACTAGAGGTACAGTACCTCTAGTACGAAAAACTTTCGAGTTCGTTTCGTTGCGTATTCAAAGTGTCATCGAAAAATTTTGTATGAAAAATTAAACAGCGCCCCCTATATTATAGCCGCCCTAGGGGGCGCTGTTTAATTTTTCATACAAAATTTTTCGATGACACTTTGAATACGCAACGAAACGAACTCGAAAGTTTTTCCTACTAGAGGTACTGGATATTCGTTCGAGAGAGGTTCGTTGGATACTATTCTTTCAGTTAATTTTCACATTTACCTACCCTTGGTTCCCTATTGAATCCTTATTGAAATATTCGATTCATTTACCTAAATAAAGTGTAAAGTTTTACCTAGGTGTTACTTAAAAAATAATATAAACTATGTCCTTTCTTACTCCACGTTCACTGTCTACGATTCAACCGAATGAGTTTAATCTTAGCTAAATAATGGTGTAAGTAATTGTAACGTATAATGTATGGGTCATCTATTTTCAGCTGTAATAATTATTAATGTAATTGTAATTATTTATGTAATAATTATTAATGTAATTGTAATTATTAATGTAATAATTATTAATGCAATAATTATTATGTTTTCGAGTCTGAAATTGCATAATTATTTTGACTGCCAAAATCAAAATAATCGTACGGTTAATTGCTTCAGTGATTTGGTTTCATCTGTTTATGCGCGGCGATAATAGTGCGATAACCTTCGCCGAGATTATCGTTTTATAGCGATGTTGTCCGTTACTGGAGAATAATAAAATAACTATCATCTTATATTTTATTAGTTTAGGTACATTTTCAATAGCTGAATTTAAAAAAAATACACTTTAAAAGCCTTATCCACTCATTGATCTAGAACTCGGTACTAAATAGGTCTCAATTATTTTTGTGATGAACAACATAAAAGATTTTGCGCATGTACCTGGCCCCATGGCCGCATTTTACATACATTTTAAGTGGCTAGGTATAGGTAGTGTCTACTAATGGATAATAAAACGTTCTTATCAAAAAATTGTGCGTAGTAGACGACCCTGAACTAGGTTGTTTTATCGACAGTCAAAACGATATTTTGCTATTTATTAAGTAGGTAGGTATTATTATTAATATTAGTATTATCATGTCCCTAAAATGGTCAGCAAGTAATAACTTACCTATTTTAAGTATAGTTGTTAACAATACATAACATAGATTACTACTGACGTAAATGAAATTAAGCAACGTCACGTCATGCATGATGGTTTGTTGATGATGATGAGCTAGCACGGCTACGGATTTATAAGCTGTATAGGTAAATGGAAATAAAAAGATTTGTTGTCTTTTAGGTAAACAGCTGAGTAAATAGGTACATAAAAAATCAAAGATTTGTTTTCGTCTGCACGCCTTTGTTACAATGTGCCGAGATAAAAAGCTGTTGACGTGTTTGTTTATAAACAACTTATTGCCAATTGCTTTTTAATTAAGAACAGATTGTTCAGAGATAAAACTGGTCAAATAGGTCAAAATCCGATATACATTTCAGTTCAATGTTCTTGCGATAGGTACGAGTACCTACCTAATTATGGAATGAAGTTGTTAGTGTTTAATTAAGGGTAGATATTTTTTGTCATATCTACCCAAAGGTTGTTGTCCGAGACTAGCGACCTCGTGCTGTTTCAGTGCTGTGGGTACCCATGTGATGAATTCTTTCAAGGATGGGCGTTATGTAAGAAAGTGCAATTGGCATGTTCTGGAGCTAATTGTGCCAATCGCGCTGCGCCGGCGCTCAATTGTTATGGATGGCGCTTTGATTGCGACGCACGCGCCGATACTTATTAAGCGGGAGATTTATTACACTACCAATACAACAATCACATGACCCTATGACGCTATTAGATATTTATTAAAAGCAAGGGATCAGATGATCTGGCAGCAGGATAGTTAAATAAAGATTCTTCATCTTCGACATAACTGAAAAAAAATAGATGCCTATCCTATCAAATCTAATTTTTTTCAAGTGTTATTTTTGTAATTTCATTAACAGAACATGTGTTTAAATTATTTACAAATAATGTAAAATGCTGAAAGAATGCAGAGAGCGAATTTCCTTAGCCATATACTACGAAGAGTCTACTACGAGTATAATATAACAGTACTTCTTTTACCGAGTATTTATACTGAATACTGGTTAAAAATATTATCTGGCATAATAATAATGTATTAATAAATATTGGGAATGAGTGATATAAGAATAATTATGTTCAAGGCTAAGATTAATTAAGCGTTTAATTACATGAATTTAAATTATTTTGCTCACTCGTTTTACTGTTATTATCAGTACAGCTACTGTAGTTACTAAATCTTGAATATTTGGTTTCATTTCGCGTCATTTTTGTTCAGAAACGGCTTTCATTACTTATCAGCAAAATATAAATTGATACTAATTGCTTTGAAAACATTAGAAACAAACGTGACGCGGGTCATTAGTTCAGCTGCTAATCCGAGCACATTATCTCCGCATGTGCACTATCCTTGGGGACACCGATTAACGAAATGATGTACACAACACCACGAGGTCACGTTCCTTCTTACACATAGACACGTCACATGGGGCTTCTTTATGAATGTAAGATATCATTTACCATTTTCAGCACATAGTTCGACAGCTATTTTTTGGGATAGGTAGGTACTTTACATTATGTATTATTAATTGGAGGCAAATGGGTCAACTGATTGAAAATTGATGATTGATCAAACAGTGGCTTCAGAAATAAATCTATCAATCTAGATCAGCGTTGTGAAACATTCAATATCATTGTAAGACTAGGTTTAATATTTTTGATGCTGTTTTGTGTCGCTGAATAAAATATTTCATTTTCATTTTAAGAGGTTTGCGAATACTGAAATAAATTCGCATTAGGTACTTGGGAATTCCTAAAACACAAGTTTTAAAAATTACCATAATAAACTGTTTTAAAACTAGAGACATAATCAGACGATGGAATGAAAATGACATCATTAGAACTTTTTGATTTTCAAATCCATACCTTATAATAATGGATCAAATCTATTTGAGCTCTATTGAAAGTACTTCCGATATTGTCGCGAATGCTACGGCGTAGCGGCTACGCCATAACTACATCTCGTGCCTTCAACCTTCCGCTTCACGTCCGCTAAAGGTTACCTACACACGTAGGCTAATAACTGCTATACTTACAGCCGTCGGTATGTACAACTAGCTATAGCATTATGTAATTACATATAGGTACGTTATGTGTGCTATTAGCTATAGATTTGTTGCGAGGTTATGGTTTTACAGATATGAAATGATTATTTGCAAGCCAACGGAAGAATTTATAGAATTATATTGATTTACTGTAATTTTTACGACATTTTTTTAAATCAACAGTATAAATAATCGTTTACATACCTTTATTTGGCAAGGCAAGACCAAACTTGGGCACAAGTTTATGAAATATAAAAACTGAAAATGTTATGGTTAAAATCGATTTATTTTATTAGCCTTAATAAAATAACAAACCGCGTAACACAGTAACTGTAAACCAATCAAGAATTTTATTATTTATCATTGAATTTATCACGAGTCTTGGTCTCTTTACAGCTCTATAAAGATAATATTAAACAAATATTATTATGTTGAGTAAACTCTTCATTCTAGGCTTTATATAATTAAACATAGAGTTCTAGAGTCGTTTCCGAGACTTTTAGTCAACACATAAGTATAATTTACCTCCCACGTAAGCAAGTGTATTTGTAATCCTGGAAATTATTTATTGAGATACTGTCGTGTGGAAAATTTCTTCGCAGCAACTTTCATAAATAACTAGGTATCTAATCTTTACAGGGATTTGACAACTGTCAGGTCTAAAGTACTTGCTAATGATTTATGAACATAATATTACGTGCAATTATACTTTGTTTTCTTTTGTTTATCTATTGGTATTAAAATCGATCGCCCATATAATATTGTAATTAAAAAGATATTAATTATGAAAATGTTAAAAAGTACAAATTATCTAAATACCCGTATCATATATCATTGTACATTTTTTGCATGGTAGCAGATTCCGGAGCACCTACTGTGGAAACAGTAAGTGATAGTAATTAATTACTTTTATCTATATGAACTTTTTTCCCAAAGAATTGTTCAAATGTTCCTTTTGAATTAAAAGTCTTGATAAAATTGGTGAGCTTTTTTTTGGAAAAATTCAAAGGGGTAGGTAATTAATAAAGCGTGTAGTATCGTCGAGACATGTTTGCCGTACACATAATGTTGGTACATACGCCTCAATGTAAACAATGTAGCGTACGCAGCCGGCGCGCAGGCAGGTCGCTGCGCGTGCGCCGCCGCGTGACGCCGCCCGCGCGTCAGCCGACCTGATGAGCTGGCGGTGTTAAGCCGGGTCTTTAACGTGTGTTTTGCTCTATCTCAATCAACAAAAACATGTCAATATTTTTTGTAGGCAATTTTGTTGAATGATGAGATGGTTTTGATGATTAATCAAAACACGCGCTGGAGATCCAGCTTTACATATCAAAAAGTCTTCTTGGTCTACATAATAATCCACGACTATCGACTCTATCTATACGCAAAATTGAGTGTTAAGAAGTGTATTGCGTACTTTCTTCATCGTAGCAATTACTGGCACCTGCCAGCTGCGTCCTTCGCTGAAACTTAATTAACAACTGTCAACTAATGATGGATGTAGCGGTTGTAGCGCCTCATCTTTTCCCGGGATATTATGTTGAAACTGGTTTAAATTACTAACGAGTACTTACGTGTCTATTTCGAAATGTGGGCAGTACAGGATTACAAAGCTTTTTAGAATAAATGTCGGTGCCTACGATGTATAAATTACTCATATTACACCGTTTAAATGCCAATCACGGATTCTTTACTTCGGTTTATTAGTCACAACTATAATAAATTCTATGTTTAAATGCAATGTTGTACTCCTCACATTATGTATTATCGAAATAACAATATTTTGGTATCCCAGATTTTACGTTAGGTGATTTGTTGCATTTCTTAGTCGCCCGCCTAGCGGGCATTGTGCTCTTAAATTCAAATACAGTAGAATCCCGATTATCCGGATCAATTAAAACCAGGGGTATTCCGGATAATCGAAAATCTGGATAATCGATTTCAAAGTAAAATCGGACAATAATTAACTTTTTACTTCTAGAAAATGGTTTATTTACATCATTTAGACCATTGGGTGAACCAATTTCTATTAACAATGAACCAAGACGACGTCTGTACCGTGTTCGGTGGCAGCGCCGAGCCGTATCACAGGCGGCGCTGTGCCGTATTGATGGTTCTAGGCCCTAATTAGAGCCATGAAGATTGAGTCCGGATAATCGGATATCCGGATAATTGAAGTCCGGATAATCGAGATTCTACTGAATTTTATTGTCCTTTCTGGCTTGCAGATCAACGCTCGCCTGTCCGGGCTGATCCTGGGCGGCGCGACGCTGCTGCGCGTGGGCGACGTGTTCGAGCGCGAGCTGGAGCGCGGCCTGCGCGAGCAGCCCTCCAGCCTGCAGATGGAGAACACGTACATCCCTGAGCTACCTGACGGCACCGGTAGGTCTAACGCACTCATTCTTCTGTTTAGGACGCTATATCATACTTAACAGTTGGGCCCAATCAATAAATATTTACTTGTTAACGTTCATTTCCGTTCTTCTGCCCATCATCATCATCATCGCAGCCATAGGACGTCCACTGCTGAACATAGGCCTCCCCCAATGCTTTCCATGTTGCCCGGTTGGTAGCGGCCTGCATCCAGCGCTTTCCTGCTACCTTTATGATGTCGTTGGTCCACCTTGTGGGTGTTCTTCTGCCCATTGGTTCCAACTATGTTGGGCTCAATAAACTCATAAATTCACTTCTTCGGTATATTTTTTTTTTGCATTAATTGGTACATACTTTAATCGGCACCAGTAACGGCAGACTTAACGTTTCTTTCGTCTACTTCTTCTTCATCTGATAAGTAGAGTTATTGCTACTCTTGTAGCGGAGTTTTGGGCTGTGTAGGTTTGTTGTCGACACGAAAAGAAGAAGAATAAGTAGAGTTAGAAGAAGTATGAGGAATAAAGAAATGGGATGAAGTCGGAAGCAAATGAGATCCTGAAGGTCGAAGTGAAGAAGTAATTTAAAAGTACCTCATGTGTTTTCCAGAGGAGGGTCTATTCCTGGCGTTGGACCTCGGCGGCACAAACTTCAGAGTGCTGCTTTTGGAACTTAGAGGAGGACAGCTAGTGCGGGAGGACGTCAAACAATACCACATCAGGTAAACTCTATTTCATGTCTTTTATTTCCTGGTGTACTTCTAGGTTACACTTTAAAGTTTACCTATACAGGGTGTCCCAAAAACAATGGATAACCCTGTAACCATCGATAGGCCTCGCCATGGTCTCCCTAACGTCCAATTTTGACCCCAGTAAAAATATCACCGTTTTCAAGATTTTTAAGTTTTTGTGCATTTTTAGAAAATTGCCACCTGCGATTACTTTTTCTCATGCCGTTTCTACAAATGAGGATACTTTTCAATCTAGTTTTTTTCCTTATCACAAGGGATAATTGGGCTATCAAAAGAAAAGATTAAAGTTCAACAAACTAGTTTAAAAGTATGAAAATTTTAAGAAATTTCAGAGAAGAAGGAAAAATTAATTCATAGTCTTGCACTTTTGATCAGCCATTGTGTAAAAAAAATGTAGGAAGACCATCGTGCCCATTAGCTTAAAAACTTCCTTGGTTAATTGAGATTCTAAAAAGGTATCACAAGCCTATGTATTCTGTATTATTTTTATCTTATGGCTAATTGAATAGCAACTAGTATAAAAACTGCAAAAATGAGTTTTTCTCGTAATAGTTACACTACGACTGCATAGTGGCATTAAATACAAATGGATAATTTTTAGCGTAGGAATTTTAATAAAGCAACATTTAATCATCATCATTATCATCATTTCAGCCATAGGACGCCCACTGATGAACATAGGCCTGTACCCCAATGATTTTCATAATGATCGCTTGGTAGCGGCCTGCATCCAGCACCTTCCTGCTTACCTTTATGAGGTCGTCGGTCCACTTTGTAGGTGGACGTCCTACGATGCGCTTTCCGGTACGTAGCCTCCACTTGAACCCATTGGCCCCATTGGCCGTCCGTTCTGCGTTTTTGTGAATACTTATTTTTTGTTTTAAACCTTATAAATGTGCCTATAGACAGATACCCGTGATAATACACGGCTCGGAAACGTGGATTTTTTGGACAGCGTGCTATGGAAGGGGCGATGCTCTGGTTTCTTTACGAAAACGTATCAGAAATTAGGAGATCCGTAAACGAACTAAAGCCGCTGAAATAGCTCGACGGATCAGCAAGCTGAAGTGGCAATGTGCAGGGCACAGTAGTTTGCAGGAGGCAGCAGGGTTAAAGTGGAGGCTACGTACCGGAAAGCGCATCGTAGGACGTCCACCTACAAACTGGACCGACGACCTCATAAAGGTAAGCAGGAAGGTGCTGGATGCAGGCCGCTACCAAGCGGTCATTATGAAAATCATTGGGGTACAGGCCTATGTTCAGAAGTGGACGTCCTATGGCTGAAATGAGGATGATGATGATGATTAAATGTTGCTTTATTAAAATTCCTACGCTAAAAATTATCCATTTGTATTTAATGCCACTATGCAGTCCTAGTTTAACTATTATGAGAAAAACTCATTTTTGCAGTTTTAATACTAGTTGCTATTCAAGTAGCCATAAGATGAAAATAATACAGAATACATAGGCTTGTGATACCTTTTTAGAATCTCAATTAACCAAGGAAGTTTTTAAGCTAATGGGCACGATGGTCTTCCTACATTTTTTTTACACGATGGCTGATCAAATGTGCAAGACTATGAATTAATTTTTCCTTCTTCTCTGAAATTTCTTAAAATTTTCATACTTTTAAACTAGTTTGTTGAACTTTAATCTTTATTTTTGATAGCCCAACTATCCCTTGTGATAAGGAATAAAACTAGATTGAAAAATATCCTTATTTGTAGAAATGGCATGAGAAAAAGTAATCGCAGGTGGCAATTTTCTAAAAATGCACAAAAACTTGAAAATCTTTAAAACGGTGATATTTTTACTGGGGTCAAAATTGGATGTTAGGGAGACCATGGCGAGGCCTATCGATGGTTACAGGGTTATCCATTGTTTTTGGGACACCCTGTATACCGACAGTCTGATGTCCAGATTCTAGAATACATTCTTCAAACAATTCTTTCAATGTAAAATATTTTTTGCAGTGACGAGATGCGAGTGGGCCCCGGGGAAGACCTTTTCAATTTCCTCGCAGACTGCGTGTTAGATTTCGTTAGATCAGAAGGAATGGAAAAGGAAAAACTATCTTTAGGTAATTATTTCCCATTAAATCGTAGGTACTACTTAATTTTTATACATTTTGTATTGTGTGTTGTGTGAATTTAACTTAATTGTCGCTTAGCCAGTCTGGTCAGCGTGGGGAGTTTGATGGTAGAGAGAGTCGGCCGTTTGGTGTATTGGTCCTAAAACGGACTACTATGCCGAGAGATCCCGGGTTCGATTCCCGACCGGGCAGAAATTGAAATGATTTATTTATTTATGATGAATTTTAATTTCTGTGATGTGACAAAAAAAGTATTTAAGTATGTTTATATCCGTTAGTTGGGGACCAGAGTCGCAGTGTAAAATGTCCAAGGATATTTATTTATATTATTTTATTTTCCAGCAGTCGAGTGAATACTAAACAATCGATGTTCTATTTGCAGGGTTCACGTTCTCGTTCCCGATGAAGCAGCACTCGATCCTGTCGGGCGAGCTGATCACGTGGACCAAGAGCTTCAAGTGCGGCGGCATGGGCGGCGTGGACGTGGCGGCGCTGCTGCAGCGCTGCCTGCGCGCGCGCCGCCTCGACGTCACCGTGCGCGTGCTGCTCAACGACACCACCGGCACGCTCGTCGCCGGCGCGCACATCGACCCCGCTGTCGGGGTACGTTGGAATAATATACACTCAACATCAAATAAACCGCACCTTCCGCGACGCGAACTTTCAAGATTTTCTTCTGACACAATCATGGTACCCCAACAATATTGGTGTTATTTGAAAGCCCAATAAATATCCTTAAAAAAAGTACATTTCATTTCTAAATAAATGATTAACATATACCTTAAATGTGACTTGAAAATAGACCTCACTTTGGGCTCACCTCTGGGATCAATTAGACTAAATTTTATGGTTATAAAACCAAATAATGATCACACGTGTCCTCTTTAACAGATGGATAGCGATTAATCCCAACTTAACAGTTTTATAGTCATAAAAAATGGCTATAGCGTAACTACCTATTTTTTGAAGAAGTGATTCTGGATCCTTCTAAAGAAACATTTTTGGGGTAAAAACCTTTCCTATAATGAAATGAAGTTTAGAACTAGGCTTTTGAATGGTATCAATATTGGTGTGAAGTGGGGATGCATACGTTTGATAAGTGCTTGTCGCGGGAGGTGCGATTTATTTGATGCCGAGTGTAGCTTCAGCTTACGACCATCCCGCTCATTGAAAGATAGGGTTCCCTCTCACATCGTTAGTCTAATGCCCGTTTTCACCATCAATCCCTAATTTTTAAATGCCCCTATGACAACAAAATTCTTGTTATGTATCACCATAGGGGTCACTTAAAAAATAGGGATTGATGGTGAAAACGGGCAATAGGCAAAGCTTTTATTCAGTTAGTACTTAGGCCCTTTCCATACACGTCCCAAATACATATGTATAGCACACCACAATTTCTTGACAACATATGGGCTGGTGCTGAAAAGAAGTGGCGAAAGTGAAAGAAGTGGCGAAAGAAAGAAACCATAGATCAATAAAACTTCATCTTCCTCACTTCACTTCACCTGTGTTTCAACTTCTGCAACGCTGCAGTAAACAAAACACTGCACTGCTTTAAAAAAACTATCGTCTTCTAACCTAGCAATAAAAAAAATGAATTTGAATTTAGTTGCGATCGGTTAATAGCAAACGTGTGGTGGCTCTTTACAGTCTAGAATCTTTCTTCACTCACAAACCCTGGAAGGTTTGATAAGGTGACTGGTAGCTATCATATTCTTCCTTCACATTCCCTCTCTAGTGTTTCTGCCAGGACGTCTCAAAGTGAACGTTTCGCGATCGTCCCCAGATCGGCGTGATCCTTGGCACGGGCTCGAACGGCTGCTACATGGAGCGCGCGGCGCGCGTGCAACACTGGGAGGCGGCGCACGAGCGCGTGCACGACGTGTGCGTGGACGTGGAATGGGGCGCGTTCGGCGACAACGGCTGCCTCGACTTCGTGCGCACCGACATCGACCGCGAGGTCGACGCAAGCTCGCTGCTCGTCGCTTCCTTTACGTGAGTAATTTTTTCCCCGTCGAAAAATTCATGTTATTGCATACCCACTGGGAGCAAAAACACTGTCACCAGAAGGGCGGGGCCTACCCTCTAAAGCCTCTGTAAAGTAGGTATCATTCAGAGCCTAATGAGTGAGACGGAACCTGCGAGCAATCGCTCGCGGCTCTCGTCCGCATGAGCACTGCCTGTACTTTCCATGTTGTCTTTTGCTGATTGTATGAGAGCCACATAGGCCCACATAGACCCGCAGCGTGGGACGTCCACCACAAGGTGGACCGACGACCTGATAAGAGTAGCAGGAAGGCGCTGGATGCAGGCCGCTACCAACCGTGCGATGTGGAAGTCATTGGGGGAGGCCTATGTTCAGCAGTGGACGTCCTATGGCTGAAATGATGATGATGATGATGAGAGCCTTGGAAAAGATAAAGTTTCTCAAGTGGGTCTGACTAAAGATTGTCTTAGGCGTAGAACTATCTCACAGGAGACAGTTATTCAATTCGGTGTTTAGAAATGTGGATAAAGCATGGGTTTAACAACCTATGGTCATTTCTTACCATCAGGTTACCAAAGATTCTAAGCCCTAAGTTTTTAGGATGATCACATAGCCTCATAAGCTTCTCCTGTGCGTAGGTTTGAGAAGTACATCGGCGGCAAGTACCTGGGCGACGTGTTGCGCGCGGCGCTGGCGGCGCTGGCGGCCGAGCGGCTGTTCCCCGCCGCGCCGCGGCCCGGCGCGCTCGCCACCGCCGACCTCAGCATGTTCGAGCAGTGAGTCGTCCTTCTTTACACCAGTTACAAGTTTACTTTCAAAGTTATAAGTATTATAAAGATATATAGTTACCTACTCTTATTGCAAAACCATAGTGTATAATATGTAGATACAAAATAGATGAGAACTTGTTGGGCACAAAAATTGGGGGCTCAATGATTCGTGTCATAGTGATATTCATAGTTCACATAGAGCCCGAGTTCGATATATCACTTCAACGTCATTTTTACAATAGGTACAGTGGGTCTAGACAAAGTGCACTTTTTGATCGAATCGAAAATCGAATCCGTCAAAACTCCGTACAAAAAAAGGCTTTTTCGACCACTTTTCGACTGGTTTGCGATTAAAATGTGCACTTTGTCTAGACCCACAGGTAAGTTACAATAACTGCAAAACTTTTACCATGCGATGCAATGGTGCGATACCGAGACATTCGGTTTGACGACCGTTCGACGCAGCGTTTTCGCTGTCGTAACATTCGATGTAACAACTTTCGTTGTCTTGTAGGGAGTCCTAATAGTTTTGAGGAGACGGCCAAGTATAACCTGATTTTTCAGGGAGAGCATGCAGGGCTCGTGGGAGCGCACGCGAGAGACGCTGACGACGGCGTGTGGAGTGGCGGTGAGCGCGGCCGACGCGCTGGTGGCGCAGCACGTGGCGCGCGTCGTCTCCAACCGCGCCGCCCAGCTCGTCTCCGTCTGTGAGTACTCCTTAAAGAGTCACGCTGACGCACGCTGACCGTCAGCGCTGACAGCCGAAATGTATTGAAGCGTCGGCGCCGAGCGATCAGCGTCACTCAGGAACGTTCCCTTCAATTACATACATATTGATCTGTCAGCGCCGACGACCAGCGAGCGGTCAGCGTGATTCTAAAACCCGCCTAACAGTTTTGTCTAACTCTCTTGCCTCTGGACCATAGGCCTTGCATTGTCAGCATTTTTGTGAAGCACAATATTTGGTCTCTTCTGTGGACAGAGCCAGTTTAATGCTTGGTCTGTCAGAATAATTTAAGAAGAATAGAGATACAAGAGTACCTAAATTGCAATGAACGATTTCAGAAGAATGGATTTGGTGGCTTATCTTATCTTATCTTATTTAGGCCGCGCATGGGCGCAGTGCACGTCGACCCATTGGGATCTTTTGTGCTTCCCTATACCTTTATCTCACCTCATCCTCAAAGATCCTATCCATACAGTGAATCAAGTGCTTGAGTGAGAAGGACCTATATTCTTCTGGTGTCGGATAAGCCGACCCCAGGAGACCCATTCTAGTTCTAGCTAGCGCGTCGCATTTGCACAGTAGGTAACATCACTCATAACACATCTCGACATCTGTCGTTCGGTGGCTTACAAAAGAAGGCTCGTCCAGCAGTCTCTGACGTAATTTCCCCGGCAGGCATCGCGACGCTGCTGCGGCGCATGGACCGGCCGTACGTGGTGGTGGCGGTGGACGGCTCCGTGTACAAGCGGCACCCGCGCATCGCGCGCCTCATGGACAAGTACATCGCGCTGCTGGCGCCCAAGCACAAGGTACCTACCCTACCTCGCTCGACCATAAACCTTAATGTATCACTGCGACAATTTGTTTTTCTTGGAACCAAAAACTGGCAATGCCAGATTTTATATGGAAGGTGCCGTCTTTTTTTTTGTGCGGCCATCGACCAAAGCTTATTTTTTGATTTAGTGTAATAAACCAAACTTACTATGACATGTATACCTCTAAACTCAGTCTGAACTGAGTTAAGAGCATTAGAAGTTTGAGGATTTTACATACTCGATTTGCTTTTTGCGCTCGTTTTGTAAGAAATTGCAACAAAATAGTGACGTCTTTTTTATTGCGCTGATTCTGCTCCACAGTGATGGCTGGAGCTTATTTGTTGTTTTTGTGAGTTTAGAGGTAAGTACATGTCATAGTAAGTTTGGTTTATTACACTGTTTTTTAAGCAAAAAACATGGTTTGGTCGAGGGCCACGCGAAAAAAAAGACGCCAATTTCCGGCATTGTCTTTTGCAATATACGAGTACTCCATTAAATTAGTATTCTCAAAAAACAACCTTTTCTTCGTCCAGTTCTCCCTGCTCGCCGCTGAGGATGGCAGCGGCAAAGGATCAGCCCTGACGGCCGCGATCGCTGCCCGCATGGCGGCGAGACAACAATGACCGCTCGGCGACGACGCGACGCCGACTTGGCAGTCGTGACTCGTGGGACGTGATAAGTTGGAGATTTAGACTAAAGACTTTTGGTTGACAAAAATTACGTTGGTATTGTCTTTTAGCTTTTTGGATCGATAAAAACCGAAAATTCAAATATCTGATAGAAACTGCGGCGGGGTACATTTCGCGTATTAAGGCCATGGTCGGGTTTCTAATTCTGTTAAAGAAAAGCATGAAACAAACCTAAAATCTAGAAGAAGAAAACTCTTCGGAAAAGGGGTGTTTTCATTAATCATGATCTTTTAAACCATAGACTTTGTAACGAATCGTAAATTCTTTCTGAGTCACTTTGCTCGTAAACTCGTGTTAGTGCACAAGCCGATAAGGGCAGTCGAGGTGACCCTTCCAGAGCCATTCACACTGTGGCAGGCAATTTAGTTCCACCTCACTTTGATGATATTTAATTACTGGTATAAAAAGCTCATTTGATATTAAAGTGTGTTAAAGTTTAATTGAGGAGTGTATGAGTTGTAGGCAAATGTAGGACATATCGAATTTTCATGTTAGTGGTTATGTGTGGAGCTCGCGGGACGAGTGAGTCGTGTGATACTTTCCATTTAGTTAGTACGTACCTAAGTAGGTATAGTTTTGTATAGAAGATTTATACTGTATGTGATATGTGAGTAGACACTTAGATTTATTGTGTAGTGACAAATACATATTGTAGTTTAAGTTTAATCCTTGTTTGGAAACATGGGCAGCTGAGTTTATAGACTCCGTAGAAACGAGATTTTAAGTTTAAAATCTTGAAGTTGATATGTCCAAAAATCTCAAATCAAGAATAAATGGTTTACCTACTACATTTATGGGAGGCATTTTAAATAGTTTTTAAAGAACATTGTGAAATGTTGTATTCTTATTTCACTTGATTTAATAAATCAGACCTGATTTCATAATTTCAATTTAAGAAAGCGCATCTTATGATGGTTGTACATAGTAGTGTAAGTTAGTATAAATCGTGCCATACATTATGTTTATTTTAGTTAGTTAGGTACACGGTAGAATAACATTTCCATGCAATTGCGACACTTAGCTGGTATGTATTACATTTCTGGTGGAGTCCGTAGCTCACGCCGCGGAGGGTGCAATCAATCTTGATGAGGATGACTTTTATCCTCAGTATCAGCTAAGAGTTGTGATGGCCAATATTCCGCAATATGCTCATAAATTGTCTAGATTTCTAATGGGTTTGGCAATGATTTTCAACATGAGGAAATTAAAAAATATATTTTTCTATGTATTATGTCTTATGTTCTTTGTTATGGGATTTTAAATTTTAAAATAGCATTAGTGATTGAGCGTCGGACTGTGCAATAGAAGCGCGCGCTTGGTGCTAGACGTGACTGCTAGTAGCACACGTACGAACTACGATTCATGCTGCAAGGCTTAGCAATTTTAAATTGCGACGTAGGTAACTGATGAATTTTATAAGTAAGAGAAATTATATCTTCAAATTATGATTATATCTTCGTTTATTTTAGATTTACAAAATAATTTGTGTCTTACTTTTGATGAAGTATGCAGCTTTATTTTTCTACTCATTTCTGGTTATACAATGTTATTGTTTATTATAAGTAATTGTTAAAGCAGAATAATATTTTTTAATAAAATGTATGATATTAATTTGACTGGTTTTATTTATGCAAATTCATTAATAATAGTAGGTAGGTATTGCTTTAATATCGCAACACATTCCTAAATAATCTACAAAGCGGGGCCATGTATCAGCAAATAAAAGTCCGTTAATGGTATAAAATAATTTAATCTAGCTTGATAACTGACGCTATCTTAATCCTAAATAATGCGCTATAAAATAACAACGTTCCTCCCTACGTAGGTCAACAGCACATCAAACTCAACACTACAATCGCTGTGGTAATAAAAAGTATTATTGGTATTATCTACAAATATGTTTAGTCTGATGCGCTGTTGACTGTGAATTACATAAAAGTATTGTCTATGTCGAGCTTAAGTAAGATATAATTTAATTGAAAATAACTTAGTTATTGCACATGTTTTAAAATAACAATCATAACTAATACAAGTGACTGGATGACTGTCAGTCGTTATTGAAATCAATGGAACGTAGACTAGTCATTCATTGTTTTGAATCCAATGAAATCAACTCACATCTACACAAAGTTTTAACAGCACAATACATTAAAAGAGGCTCTAATTTTTGTCTCATAATTAAAATATTTTTTATTGTCTTAACTCATTTTTGTCATTCAAGTACAGCGAATCGAGACACCATTGAAATCAATTGTTCCACGAGTGGAAGTATTGAAACTGAGAACAATAAGAATAAATATTCAAGATTAGTGTGCCGTCAGCACACGGACGCGTTCTCGTCGTGGTCGTCGGTGCACCGGGTCGCGCGCTCGCCGACGCGGCCGCTCACGACACCTCCACCTTCTCTCGCACCTTCCGCAGTATGCTCTGTAGCTCGGAGGCTGACGTAGTTTTGTACTGAAAGAGTGAATAACAATTAATTAGTTACAGATATTTAATCAAGTCTAGTAAGGATTAAATCGATTAGTCGATAAGTATTTCCAGGTTTATCTTCAATGCAAATTCGGATTTACAACTCCAATTGATTTTAATTTTATTATGCTGTCATGTGGGTAGGAGGCGAATTTTACTGACACTTAAAAATCGTCTTGCAAGTTTACTGTAGATTCCGTGAAGGGTAGTTTAACGGAAAGCATGGTCGATCTGTTTTATTGCTGTTATTATTTAATGGACTATTCATATTTGGTGTTATTTTGTGTTATAAAGTGTAGTGATGATTTGAGCGCGCATCCAGTGTAATACGGGTTGTCATGTGAACACTTCGCTTTGGACTCAATACTTAGAGGTTGGATTGTCACAAAACAAAAGAAGAAGTGGACTGACTGTCTGGCGCAATTAGCAAAACAAAAGAAGAAGTAAGTAGATTGACTGTCTTGCTGATCGATCTCAATGGGGAAGCGATGTTGCTCATGCGTGTCATGGTAGAGCTCACCGTAGTGGCGAATGTGGGGGGAGGTGTGTCCACTCACCCCGGAGACGTTGCGCTGCACCAGCACCTGCGAGTACAGCCGCTTGCCCTCGTCGGCGCCCAGCGCGCGTTCGAGCTGCGCGCGCCCGAGCGCGAACAGCTGGTGGCCCGGCACGCGCAGCTGCTTCTGCGCGCGCTCCGAGAAGCCCTTCGCTTCCAGCCAGTTCACCACCTCGTCGGGGTTGGATTTCTGAAACAATATAGTGTACGTTTTTAAACCTTTCGTTATGTGGGTGGGCCATCAGTGTGCTTACCATGAGTTAACGTTGGATGTGCTCGCTAGTGACTGCGTTAAAAAATGACATTAAATGTATGACAGATTGTGCAGCGCCCCTAGCAGCTACTTTCAAGAACTAAAATCTGCACATGGCGGATTTACACTATGCGGAAATTCATCCCCACCCCTCTGTTTTATTGGCTTGACTTTGCTAATTTCCGCGTAGTGTAAAAGCAGCAATAGACTTTTTGACTCGCTAGCAAGCACACTTAAAGTAAACTCATGGTAAGCACACTGGCTCTGTTAGAAAATCTAGTGGTTCAGTTGCGTTTCGAGAGGTAAACTATTATTATAGAGCCTACATCTTTTCCTTCTTCAATCGTGTAGATAGGCTGCAATTTTATTATTTAAATCGGTTGCCTCAAGTGGACTTGAATCCAATATCACGTCGAATAGTTAGAGATGTATCTTTTTAATGCAAAAATCTAATAATACGGTGCATTCTCTTCCTCTTCCTCGGTTCTTGACTGATGAGGATCGCGACCATAGATAGTGTTCCTCCACAGACTGCGGTCATAAGCTGTGTGGACCGCACGATGCAAACTCCCGCCCACCGTCTTCCTCACCGCGTCTGACCATCTCGTCGGTGCCCTGCCCCGCGCACGTCTGCCTTCCAGTTGTCCCAAGATAATTTCTTTCTTCAGACATACGGTGCATACCTGGTCAATAAATATATCGGGCGTCTTCTTGAAGTCGAGCTTGTTCTTGCGGTTCTGGATGGCCGGCAGCACCATCTTCAGCTCCTCGTTCAGCTCGCTGCTCGTGCTCATCATGGATTTTGTCGCTGAAAGCCGTAACAAAGAAAAATATTTAAACTTTCTGTTTGCCTTTACTCGGACCGTTAATCCCCGTTTTGCGAACTCCACATTTTGAGATATCCCTATTTTGAGAAGTTCACTTTTTAAGAAATCCCCATAATTTTCCAAAAGGTTCTCAGCGTTAAGAGTCGTTAAATCAGTCGCAGTTGTTCATTTAAAGGTAAAAGCGACAGATCTACTGAACTTTTTACAATTCGTGAGACGTATGACATTTGTATGAGAGGCGGGTCGATGGTCGAATTTTCCAGTAAGATATAAGTGGAATAACGGGCAAGATATCAGAATATAAGAATAATACGTACATTTCATGGTGTCAGTCTTGACTGGCACTGGGGCGGGGACCGGCGCAGGCGCCGGCGCCGGCGGCGGCGGTGGCGGGGGCGGCGGCGGCGGCGGGGCTGCTGCAGGCTTCTCTGCAAGTGGTGTGTTACACCAGGCTAAGTGCACTAGCAAGGTAAACTATGATGATATTATTTGGAGTTTCTTTTGTAGGAGAAGAGTCAAAGACAGAAAATATTTCTGTTGCGTTTGCCATGACTCACTAGTGGTGTTATAAAATGCCTTGGGCCAAAGGTGTCCTGGATTCAATTGCCTATGCAAATTGATATTTTCCTTGATATTGTGACATCATCATTTATATTACGAAGCCCTTAACGAAAACACAATGTTTTCCCATTTAGCTATAGATGTGACTTTATTATTTTACATAATACCACCTTAACACTGAGGGCAATCAAGTCGCTGGACTCCACCCTGTACACAGTGAACAATACAAACGGACATAGGAGTTATTGTAGTTCCTTACAGATTGAAAAAGAATTAAAACGACAACCACCCAAACAAAACATTAGATGAGACTTACCACAGTTTGTCACACACACATACACACAACATAAAGTTAAAAGCTAAGCTACACACACAACGGCGAAATGCGATAGCTACTTTGTATTAATTTAGTTATGTTATGTACCTAAAGTTATTCATCAGTGTCATTATTAACTTTCATTTTCAATTTATCACTTTAATGCTTTTGAATTATCAGGAAGGGGTGTAACAAAAACCAAAATTCGGATTTGATAAAAAATTTAATGTATAAAAATGTACTTAAATACAAAAACGGAGCATTATCTACTTTGTTTGCGAGTGGGCGAGTTGCGGGTGTTTACATTTTTTAGGTGCGCTCTAAATAACATCATTTTGAACTTGGACTCGATCCGCAACACACCCACTCTTCTACATTAAAGTTAAGTACTCATTAACTGAATCAAACTCCTTCTCAATTACATTAAATCATTCTCTCATTAAATTATCTGACTCATTTCAGGTGAGTACCGTGAACTAGTAATAGACTCTTTATAATAAAACACAATAGAATACTTTGTTCCGACGAGCTCGGAGCTAGCGGACGGAGATAATAATATAGGTGCCATGACATTTTACAATAACCATATTAATAGATTTGTTTTAAAAATTAAAATAAATCTGACTTGAGCACGAACTCGCACCGACGATTACTCGTTTATCGGCTCAATACATAATTACTCGTATAAATAACATTTTTTCATATTTTTATCTTGAAGATTAATTCATATCAAGTATTCCAAGAGACTAAATAATAATTACGATTTGTTAATTATGTTTTCCGATAACATAATTGACTAGCCTTTGATATAAATTAGTTTCATTGCACATCGTAACAATTTAAGTACAAAGCTTTTAAAACTATTTTACTCTCCGTATGTGTATTTCAAATGCCATAAGTACGTATATGATTGAGGGTAGTTATTATTTAGCCTGTTGACAGCGACAGCGACACACACGTTAGCGACAAACACAAGCAACACACGCGCCCGCGCACGCCACGCGCCCGGCCCGGTCGTGCCACGTCGCTCTCTAGTGCTCCACGCATTGGGCGTGTCGTGGCACAAATACGAAAATTTATGAATATAGCGACGTGACACCACCACGCGCGTTCCGACTCATACCCAAACCGCCGCATTTTATCGCAAAAAGTCAGAGTAATATTAGAATTGCATGTTATGATGCCTATCCATTTTTTTTAAAACCAAAACAATAAATAAATAAACATTGAAAATATTGCAGAAAATTATGGATATGAAACTTGTGCATTGATAGCAAACCTATTTAAAGATGTACCAAAATATGATTTTCATTCTGACCTTTCGCACAAGTACTTGCCTTGCCTTTGAATAAATATCTACTTATAATAAAGGGTACATAAATTATGACTAACCAAGGCTAGCCCCCTCTAGCTTCAACGCGAAAAAGCTTTTCAGCATTTTCAGTAGAGGGACTCTAGGTGTATAGTGACCAAAGTCGGATCTGGATTCGTTATCAAAATATTTCCAAGATCTCTCGACTTTGGGACTTGATGCTGTGATTCAGATAGAGTTTCTCGAGGTTGTTGAGGAAACGTATTGGATTTGATCTACTGAACGACTTCAGTTGGTTAATTAACATGTTTGTTCTTTGGTTATTGTATTTTGTGAAATAGTCTTTATTTATAATCCAGAATTGAATTTAGACTGATTAAAGTGGAGCTATCAGGGAGTTATTTAAATCTCACACGAGGTTAACAAGAAACGCCCGTGTGACGTAGCGACAGTGTTGAACTCAGTGACAGGCAAAGCTTAATGTAACACGTTATATTTCTTTAGCAAGATATAAGATGTAGAAGTGTGTAATAGATCACGGATTTGCAACTATAAAACAAAAGCTTTTTTCAATTCTAATGTGGACTATTTTGTTTGCTGGCAAGAAAATGAACAGCTTGCCTACATGCTATAATAATCTGAGTTCCTGCTCATTTCCCTGACACTAAGTTTGTTTTTTAGTCCACACGTAATAAACTCAATTAGATAATCGTCTGATAAATCCATTAGCTTTGCCGATATGGACTGTTTTGCGTAATGCGGCGGCTAGAAGTATCGGAACTCGCCCTTCTTGCCGAGGCGCTCGCGGCGGATCCAGTCGGCGCCGGCGCCCGCGCCCCCCGCGCCGCCCGCGCCCCCCGCCCTACCCGGCGCGCCCGTGGGACTGCTGCCGCCGGAGCCGCGCCCGCCGCCCTCCTGGAACAACAGTACAATTAAAACATAATCCATGGCAGTTTGCGTCCAATGGTTCCCTACAAATTCTTTTTGTGTTGGATAGCCCATTTATCGAGGAAGGCTTTAGTCTATAAGAGCTATAATAACATAAACCTGCAGCCAATAGGGACGGAGCAGTAAAGAAAAATGTTGCAAAAACGGGAAATATTAAGTGGCGGGCACAGCTATAAGTTATCTAAAGCCTGGTCCGTGAGCACGTAGAATTTTGTCCAATGACCCCAAGCTATCCATCCTTATCGCTCGCGCGTAATTATATTGTCGCGACTGTGCGACGCGCGCCCGCAGTGAGTGTCCGAGCGCAACAGCAACATAAATTATCATTCTAATTATTATGAGTGAGAAGTAGGTGTTCATTGCTCAAGTTAGCAATGGTAGATCGTCAAATATGAATGAATGAATGAAAATTTCATTTCAGAATCCAGCTGCACAGAGAGACTAAATGGGTTACATTTATTGGATGAGGCGATGTTAGCACCATCTGCGTGCCCTAAAAGGTGGAATCGTTTGAAGCGTGGACATCCAGTTGATAGCCCAATTTACCTGGCAGTGCGAACTTCGAACTCCACTTATGTTCCTCTAATTAATTTGGTTGCGGGTCCAATGACAGTTTAACTTTCCCCCGGGACAAACTTGACCTTCACTGGTTGGGTTTTTATTGGCGGTCAAGCTGTAGATCCTGGCTACACAGGAGCTGCAACGGTGGGAACGAGAGGTGGGAATAGTTTCGTACCTGGTAGTGCGTGTAGATGGGGTTGGGGTAGAGGTGCGGCGAGGCGGGCGGCGAGAAGGCGGGCGCCACGATGGTGTGCGGCACGTGCGCCGTGGCGCCGCGCCGGTTGCGCGCCTTCCACCACTTGCGCGAGTCGTCCAGCACCTGATGGCAACACACGGTTACACATTACATGCTGGCCAGATTCAGCATCGAAACTTAAGCAGTCAATCTTGAACTTAGGAGTTCACCAAGTAACAAGCTTGATTCTTCTTCTTCTTTTTTGATGATGTTGGCAATACACGTCGAGGTCGACTTGATTTGTGCCATTTTCAAGTATATAAGTGATACGAGTTACAAAATGAGATCAAATAATGATATAATGAAGGATGATAGATGACCCCTTCCCACCCTTTGAGTCTCAGTAAAGTTGTGGTGCTTTACTGAGACCTCCTATGGACAACTTGAGAGAACCAGAAGAATCACGATGCACTGTTTTGCTTCACTTGCCCACACTCATGCACGTTCACGAACACTCAATGGTTAATAATCCACCATTATATTAAAAAAAAAAAAAAAAAAAAAAAAAATTATTACACATTAATAGTTGCCCACACACGAATTTGAGGAAATAAAACAAAACCGCTAACATGACGCTTCAGATTCCCGCCAAGAAGTCCAAGCTTGATTCAATCCCATTAAACCTTAGTTTGGTTTTATCTATTGCTTGTTGCAACTAAGGCCACGCATGCTGAGGGTCATCATCATCATCATTTCAGCCATAAGACGTCCATTGCTGAACACAGGCCTCCCCCAACGACATCCATGATGACCGGTTGGCAGCGGCCTGCATCCAGCGCCTTCCTGCTACCTTTATGAGGTCGTCGATCCACCTTGTGGGTGGATGTCCTACGCTGCGCTTTCCGGTACGTGGCCTCCACTCCAGAACTTTGCTGCCTCATCGGCCGTCAGTTCTGCGTACTTTTTGCCCTGCCCATTGCCACTGCAGCTTGCTAATCCGTCGGGCTGTGTCAGCGACTTTACTACGTTTACGGATCTCCTCATTCCTGATTCGATGAATTTAGAGGCTATCACTATTAAAATATTATCTAATCCACTTTGCTCATCATATCTGACATAGCCCGACGGATTAGCAAGCTGAAGTGGCAATGGGCAGGGCACATAGTACGCAGAACTGACGGCCGATGGGGCAGCAAGGTTCTGGAATGGAGACCGCGTACCGGAAAATGCAGCGTTGGACGTCCACCCACAAGGTGGACCGACGACATCGTAAAGGTAGCAGGTAAGCGCTGGACACAGGCCGCTACCAACCGGGTAGCATGGAAAGCATTGGGGGAGACCTATGTTCAGTAGTGGAAGTCCTATGGCTGAGATGATGATGATGACTTTGCTCATCTATTCAAAGGAGCAAAAGGGAAGACAAGCGGTTGTGCCGGTGGTACGCACCTCGAGGTACTCGCCGCGCACGACGGTGAGTTCCTTGTCGTTGTTGGCCGTGCGCGGGTACGTCACGCGCACCACGCGCCCGCCGCGCGCCGCCACGCCGCGCGCCCACGACTCGCCCAGCTCGTCTGCAAGAAAACATAAACACATAATTAGGTACATAATTAGGTGGGGATTCTTGGATGCAGTAGCGGCGTAAGGGGGGGGGGGGCGGTGGGGGCGGTCCGCCCCGGGTGCCAAGCATCAGGGGGTGACAAAAGTCGCGCAGATTAGTACTCACTGGCGCATCTGCAATAATCTGCATGGCAAGTCTGCGGGCCCCAAAATCCTGGGGGGTTCCAGGGGGTGCCTTACTTATGACGAGGGGGGGGGGAATGATCGCCCCGGGTGCCAACCCATGCTACGCCGCCACTGCTTGGATGGCTCAAACATGGAGTGCAGGTGCGGTTTTGTTCCCCAGTCGATGAAGCACATGATATCGTGCCCTGAGTGCCCGACCAACTGCACTCAGGAGGATTTAATGAATCCCGCTGACAACGCCATTCTTGTAGCGGAATTTTGGGCTAACACTGTGTAGGAGGAGGAGAACATCTTACATAGATAATATTGGAATTTATTGAAATGTTTAATAATTATGTAATTAATTTAATATTTGCATGTCAGAAATGACTAATTGTGAGACCTAACCATTAACTGTATCCATCTCCTGTACCACATTTATAGCAAATAAATGATGATTCTGATTCTGATTCTGAGGACACGATAAGAAGAAGAAGGTACATAATGTTATCTTTTACTCCTTCTTTTTCTCGATATTCTGGCCCGCTAGTTGTTTGAGAGGGAGAGAGAAATCATCACCTATGGAGATGTTTACGTCCAGCGGTGGTGAATGATTGATCATTTTCAAGGATGTTCTTTTAGAAAAGTTATACCAAATTATTAGCTATAGTCTTGCTATCACAGTTCTTTGGCTTAAGGGCAGTCATAATTTACTGATTTCCGGTTCTGTAGTTATTTTAAGACAGGATACTGACCATCATCCCGCTCAGGGCGGTAGGGCGGCTCTCGCTCCGGGGAGGACGCGGCGGAGCCTGAGTCCTCGCGCGTGAGCGTGCGCCCGCTGTAACAGAATAATATCATCATTAGGAATCTTATTAAAATACCATTGGCATTAGTATTAGTATGGTTTGTTTTCTGAGTCTTCCAGTATTTACAACAAACACAAAAGCGCTCGGTCCAGCAAAACTCGCCCTAGCTTGAATGGTTGACAAAAGGCTCTTTCTTACTCGTATCTTGCATAACGTATGGCCATTCAAAAGTTGAATTCAAGCTCACAAAGTGGCGGAGATGTTCCATTGGTTTTTTGTTCAAGCGATTTTGGATGATTAATAACAGACGTTTTCAACAAAGCATGCGTACCTGGAATACGGCGCATACTGCTCGCCGTATATGTCGTCCCTCTCGTCGCGGTCGTAGGCGTAGGCGGCGCCCTCCCCGCCGCCCGCGCCCCCCGCCGGGCTCGCGCCCGCGCCGCCTGCGCCCGCGTCGCTGCGCCGAGGCGAAGTCCTGGCGCACACACACATAAGCCACGGCACACGGACAACAAAGTGACACACAAATAGAGAAGATGACAGACAGGTGATGAACACAAAGGTATTGGAAGAAGAAACTAATGATGCCCACCCACAAATTAGTAACAACAAAGATAATAGCTTGGTCTGTTACCTGCGTAGAGGCTGGTCATCGACCTGGTAGTCCGGCGACCACCCGTCCATGAATACGGGGTGGTACGGGGGAATCGCTGTCTTCCATTGTTCCCTGTAGACACCAAAGATTATTCTTATCAAGATTTTAAACAATATCCACACTTCAATAAAGGTTACTGTGAGACTCTAACTGTAGATTGATCACGATTGATTGTTAATTAGTTTTGGAACTCCTGTTGAGCTACTACCGGTTTTGTACCAATTATGATTGATAATATTTATCACAACTCATTATCTGAATAATATAAATAGATAGATGGCGATTGCACTCAATAATGCCATAAAATCGATTGTTTATCAAAACATATCATACTATTTTATGAGCGGTCATGGAGCAAAAGCTTTTAAAACAACTATCAAGCCATTTTACGAAGTAAAAAACCCTGAAATTGTCTACAGTCTCAATAATGTTCTGAAACCACCTCATACCTGGGTATGAGCCAGGCGTCGCCCAGCGAATGCCACAGCTCCGTTTCTTTGCTGGTGACGCAGTTGGCCAGCAGGTTGAGCGCGTCCCGCGTGAGCAGCGGCTGCACCACGCGCGAGGGCAGGCGGCCGTCCGCCACGTCCTGCGCCGCGTCCACGATCAGCGCCAGCGGCGTGAACAGGAAGTGCACCAGCTCGGGCGCGTTCGGGTCGTGGATGTGCGCTCGCAGCCGCGCCAGCAAGTTGAAGGACAGCTTGAACTTCTGCAGCACGTCGACGAAGTCCCGCTCGGGCGGCGGGCGCGTGCGCAGCGCCAGCATGCCCTCGCCCGCGCCCGCCTGCCGCCGCCCGCGCGAGCGCCGCCGCCGCTCCAGCTCGCGCGACGCGGCGGCGGCGTGCTGCAGCCGCGCGATGAACTTCTCGATGTCGTCGAAGCAGCGGTTGAGGATGGCGATGTCCTGCTCGTAGAGGCGCTCGGAGCCCGTGGACGAGGCGTCGTCGCGCTCGCCGCCCGAGCCGCCGCGCTCCGTGCGCTCGCGGCCCAGCTGCGCCGACATTTGCTGCGGAACCAGGTACTTTTTACTGACGTTTGTTTTGATGCACGATAGATAATCTAGATATTTATGACGTAGTCGTGGAGATGCCGAAAAGGAGCTAATCTTGCCTTGATAAACTGATAATAATTTAATATGCTAATAAAAGTTCTAATATTAACGTTTATGATTCTACTTTGTTTGCAAATTGGCAGATGAAATGCTGTACCTTCTGAATGACAACCTCTTCTTCAGATTAATTATTGACGTACAAAAACGAATGATACCTACCAAGAAAAAAAAAGGTTCGCGAGTCCAAATATTGTAAGATTTATTAGGGCCACTAAAGATTTAAGTTTTGTCAAAAATGTAAATGGACGTAGCTCAATAGGGCTTGACGAATGAAGAGAGAGTAAGTGTGCATGTGCAAGCAATGTTTGTTTGTATGCGAGTACTCACGACGAGCACGGCCTCCCACTGCTGCCGCGTGTACGTGTGGTACAAGCGCTCCATGGCTGCGCGCGACTGCGGCCCGAGCTATGCCCCGCGCTATGCCCCGCGCGCTATCGACGCGTTATCGCGCGATAATGATTACGCGGATTATCCACGCCGATAATCCCAGAGTATCCGTGTGGTTATTTTCGAATGTAGTTAATGCGATATTGGGGAGATTGTTGATATTCAAATTCTTTAATTAGTAATTTATGCCCATTCCAGGGAAAGAGAAAACACACAAATAAACTCTCTCACTAAAAGAAGTTGCGTTAATCGATAAAGTTTTATTGCGGTAGACATGCGATATAGATGGTCAAGTTTTTATTGTAATTTGGCCACCCTGAAGGAGCAGATTAAAACCAGCTTTTCGGTTGCATTGGGACAGCACCGCCCAAGATGCACAGTTATTTTGCTACCTGGCCAGAAAGGTGGAATGATTACCGTACCATTTAGAATGAAAGAAAGAAAGAAAATTTTTTATTTGATCCAAAACATTTGGTTTAAACGACAACGTTATTGAGATTTTTTATCTTTTAAAAATATACCTGCTCATAGTGCGTCACCGATACTGATGACTAATTTTTTTAGTTATAATTATATAAGTAATTTTTATCGAGGCATTCAGTTGGTGAATAATGAGCCCCGGTAGATAACGGGCGGATGTTATCAGCCGATATCGGCCCTATCTTCAGCTACAATCAATACCCTTGCTACAATCACGCAGTAGTTCATAAATTTGCAATTAGACACAGTTTTTAGATCAATAATACACTCGAAAAGAATTAAGTACCTACTTACTTACTCTTTTATTCGTCAAATTAAATCGAATCAAGAGTCTTTATTTGCATAATATGGGTCTTACAGAATGTTCGTCGTCCATATTTATCTACACTAATATTATAAAGAGGAAAACTTTGTTTGTTTGGTTGTAATGAATAGGCTCAAAAACTACTGACCAGTTTTTAAAAATTCTTTTACCATTCGAAAGCTACATTATCCACGAGTTACAAGGCTAAATTTTATTTTGAAAAAAAAAAAAAATAGGGTTCCGTAAAATATGTAGATAATGTAGTCCACGCGCGCGAAGCCGCGGGCGGAAAGCTAGTTTTTTTTTTATATTTGCTTTTGTATGTTATGCGCCATTGGACGTATAACATAGGACACGTATCTTAAATTGTATTCAACCAGCCATAGTGTAGCTTTGTATGTAAACATGATTTTGTGGGCACAGCGCTGACGCCGCTGGTTAGATGTTTCTCAAAGTTTTTATTTTATCCTGAACAAAGCAGGTATTTGACTGCAGTCACACCTGATGTTTATTGAAGTTTTTCAAAGTATAAAAATGTTAGTTACCTGCCGTCGCGGGCGCTCCATCTCCGTCTCCCGCTCGCGCTCGCGTTCCCGCTCGATGATGAAGTCGCGCGCGCCCTCGCCCGACCCTCCGCTGCCGACGCCCCTGCGCACAGAAACATGTTATTGGTGGAAATCTTAAAAAAAACCTTAATAAACATTGTTATAAGGGCCTAGATTCACGTATGTATGAAGCAGGAAAAATGTTTTTCAGAACAGCGTCGTTCGCAACTGCATACCCGTAATTGCAGTCCATAAACTTTCGAAACTATGAGGCAGTGGATGAAAATTTGCTACAGCGTTCGTCGCTACAGAGGCATTTGAAACTGTATACACCCTTGTTAATATTCTTGACGTTGAGAATAGATATCGATAGTTTCAACCAAATCAATCTAGGATGCTGAGAAAGAGATGATGATGAACCGGTGGGTGGGTAGACGAAGAAACTTTGTAACCTAATATTAACAATGCAGTACAATTTTTACTTAGATTTTTCTAGAAATAAACTTAAGTACGAGTAAGTCTCAGATAACATTCAAGATCGATCTAGCACAATAAACTTCCTTGACTACCCTCACTATCAATGAACTTCCTTGTGGGTACAACCAGCGTTGCCAGACGTCCCGATTTTGGCGGGACGTCCCGATTTTTTAATCAAATTTAAATGTCCCGCGCGGGACAGGCTCGGTCCCGCTTTTCGGAGAGAGACACTCACTTCACCAGACTATTGTTTGAAACGCCATATTATTCTAAAGAATAAAACTTTTTAATTTTTTTTCTTCTTTTTATTCTAAAGACGAATTTAACGATAGAGTAAAATCTGATTTAAAACATTATTTTTTTGTTAAAATACATTTTTTATGGCTACTTTTGCTATCTATTGTCACGTAAACGTAATTTTAAGTCAAATAAAAAGATAAATATTTGAAAACCTTTGATTATATACGTTTTTTTTACTATGTCCCGCTTCTGACGGAAGAATCCCGCTATTTTCACTCAAAAAGTACCAAAGTCCCGACTTGGCGAAAAAAAAAACTGGCAACGCTGGGTACAACACACTTTACACACTACACTGCACATAACGCACTAATCATTTGATTATTATACTCGTAGTATGTACCAAGTGTAAGCCGAGACTGGCAGCCCGAACTTGTGCCTGAAGTAGATCATCTCCCAGCATGTTGCGGGCGGTACTGAAACGGTATGACGGTGCGGACGGCTTAGGCGGAGATAAGCTCTGCCAAGATTACTCTGAGCGAGACACTTGGCCTTACACGATTATCGCTTTGTTTGTAATACCTAAGCTATGCAGATATATCAATATGGAGCAACGATTATCGCAATTTGTGAAGTGGGGAAATTCACTGGCTTGGTATATTACGACATTTCCCTAAGTTAACAAGAAACTTGAGTTGGCTAACTGTGCATCGAGTATGCCTAAAAAAATGATTTTGTCATCAATCTTATGTAAGTCTACGAGACTACGAGATTTTTCCATAGTCCCAGTCTTAGACCCGCAGTAAACAACGAATACCTACTTACCTACCTATTTATGATAGTTTGAGTTTCCTAGATGTGAGTATTTATCTTCTATCAATACTTAATCGAATCCCAAAGTTTAATATTTGGTTTCACTCCATTTCACTCCATAACTGTTGTGACACATTCACTTTCATATTCTTAAAAGTTTATATTTTGTACTACTAGTTATGATTCAAACATCACTTTGATTCACTCTTTGCACGATTGAATGTTAATACCTACTGAATTTATTTTACTCTTAGTTCGGTATCCAATCCCGAGATTAGATTGGTGGATTGATAAGCGCGAGATTCCTTAAGCATGTCGCAACACTACACTCTGATAATGCCAGGGCTGTCAGGTCAGAGCACAATAGCTGATACACACTGACGAGTCTCAAGAACTAAAGTACAGACAGTGAGTGCTCAGACATGGCCTATGACAGCCCTGGACTAAGACAACGAGTTTACAAATACAAGATCGATAAAAAACTTGATAGATGACTCAATGTGCATTTTTCTTATCATAATAGTAGTATTTCAAAATATTCTAGGTAACTCTTCCAAATAGGTAATGTAAAAAGTATGTAACAATTTGCAGACGTGTAGATTTTCTTAATCGATGTTTATGAATTTCCCAATTATTTGGTAATCCTATTTTCAATTTCCCTCTCGTATAAAGCCAGCGATGGATTACGATTCTCACTTGAGCGCATTGAGTTCCTCGACGAGCGTCTGCGCAGCCACGTCGTGGCACTGGAAGATGTGCAGCTCGCGGCGCGGCAGGGGCGCGTCGGGCCCGGCCGGCGGGCCCCCGGCGCCGGGCCCGGGCCCGGGGCCCGCGGGCGCGCCCACCACGAACGCCAGCACGTTGTTGTACAGCTCCGCCGGCTCCGGCGACGTGAAGGCAGTCGGCGAGTGCACCCACGACGCCGGGAACCGCTCCATTATTGACTGCAAGTGCAAGGCGATCGGTAGTATTTAATAATTTTCTATCCTTAAAAGCTCTGACAATGAGTCTGAAGAAAATGATCTGAAATAGATTCAAAACCTCTTCCTGTTAAACCACGGAAATGTTATGAAAGTATTGAATAATTTATAGTGATAATAAATGATCAAAATAAGATCGCTCGTGTCGGAAAATGGATATCAATTACCATTAGATAATGAGACTCGCGCATTTGTTGATAATGTTTAAACTTTCAATTCCAGCAGCATTCCTAAGCGTTTAAGGCGAAAGCAATGAAAGTGAAACTTGACAATCAATATGCCGGACATAATGGTATCCTTCCGTTTGGCCAAATTACTTTTCGCCAAATTTCACTTCGCAAACAACTTATCGCCAAAGTTTCATTTCCCAAATGAACTTTTAGCAAATGTACTTTTCGCAACTATTTCATTTGGTCAAATTATCATTTGGTCAAATTTTACTTGGCAAATGTTTATATAGCAAATGTTTTATTTTGCCAAATATTATATCCCAAATAATTTATTTGGTCAAATTGACACTTCACATGCTTACCCACCGTTACCCACAAATCAAAGCACAAGGCAAATGATCATGGTTTTCACAAGAATTTTATGTAAAACAAAGAGATTGCAGAAAATAGTATGGATGCGAAAGTAGGTTTTGCAGAAAATAGTAGGTTAGGTTAGGTTAGAACAGTGACCCTTAACGCGCGAAGGCGAGCGAAGCGTGCCGCGGCAGCGGCCGCCGAGCGCTAGAATCACCTCTATTGTTAATTAATCATTTAGTTTCGATAAAAATAATGAAATATGAAAATAAAAGAACAAATTTTATATTAACTACCCACTAAACAAAATAATAACCACAAGCTAATTTGTATTCCATTCTATGCACCAATCAAATTATTTTGTATATAGTTTATCGTGAAATATTTTTGCCAAATGAAACATTTGGCAAAACATACTTTGCCAAACAATAATTTGCTAAACAATAATATGCCAAAAAAGACATTTGCGAATTAAAAGTTTGCAATAAGTTGTTTTGCCAAATGAGAATTTGCCAAATGAAAATTTGCGAAACGTTGTTTGCCATGTGATAATTTGGGAAACGTTTTTTGGCCAAACATTAGTAATCCGGACATAATACACCTGCTAGAGATTCAAAAATGCTCACTGAAAGTTAATAAAAGTGTGGATTTAAGGATTAAAGGCTATAGTTGGAAGACATTCAGATTTAATGGAAATATCATTTGTAGGCTATTCTCAATTCGAAAATGGTATCTAATAGTAAAGATGCTTGTAACTTTACACATACCCCGGTCTCGTAATCCATGACGAGTACCCATTGCCCCTCCAGGCTCAGTTGCATTTTTTGGCTCCATATTCCTAGAAAAGAGAAAGCGCTTCGATTAGATAACATGACAGACAGTAATAAAAACATAATATGAAAGGTACGTTATAACTCGACAGATATGTACCATCATGGCCAAATGGAAGAGAGTTGAATATTATTCAAAATCAGTAGTTTTATGCTGCGTCTCTCACTCTGAGGTAGTAAAAAGTTTCAGGGAGTATTGCGCAATATGTATGTCATATTTCTGTCTTAATCAGATTCTATATTTCGGTTTTGAGTCATCATGATTTCCACAAATACACGAAATAATTATTTTCAAATGTGCTACAAATAATGTAGAACATACTTGTAAATATTGTACATAATTTTATTCATGAAAAACTCAGCAATATTGTTAACTCGTCAGTAATCGTAGAAGAGGGAGCAGATGGTCTCAGACACTAGGGTTATAGTATGCGAGTTTCTTTAAAGCTCCACTATGTCACAACTATGTGGTGTGTGTTTGTAAAGTATGTGTAATCTTAGACAAGGACTGACCGTTGGTCTTCTCGAGCTGCAGCAGGCGGCGCATGCCGTCGGCCGGGTACACGATGCCCGTCTCGCGCGTCACCGTGAACGTGGCCAGGTGCTCCAGCACGTACACCGTGCGCTCGCCATCGCCGCCCTGCGCAAGAGACGACATTCTTAAAGCTACACATTACAATCACCAGCATATTACTAATTTAATGAGCTTGACATCTTCATCATCACCATTTCAGTCACAGCACGTCCGCTGCCGAACATAGGGCTCTCCCAATCATTTCATCGTCCTTGAGCCACCTCCATCGCCTACAAGCTTGACATACTCCCTGGAAAATTCACAATTTTCCTGTATTCTATGGAGATATTATTAGAACACTATCAACGAATCAAACGTTCTTTGACATTATTCATAAAAACATTTTTTAATTTATATTATACTTGCTTAAACTATTTTGTAAACTCGTACATAATATCCGTAATCCGTATCATAATAAATCTAAGTAAAACCAGTAAAACTGACTGTACCATGGACGAAAATGTTGTGCAAATGCGGGTGGATGAAGAAAATTCATCGCGCCCGAGCGAACGACGCCGCATCTCTTCAGTCTGCCCGCGACCGTGACTCGTGCCGGTGCAACCGAGTCGGAACGTCGGGAAGGTAAATACCTTTTTACCTTTTCAAAAGTGTTTGTGTGTTGTAATCCCGTAATAGTGAGTGAGCATCCAATTAATATGACACATTTTGTGTGTATGTACCATAGTTCATTGTCTATGTCGAAGTCTCGTTTTTGACAACAATATGTGTTAGTTAGTAAGCAAGAAAGATAAAAACTATACGCTATATTAATGTTAGACTGTTGTTGTTGAAAGAAACAGAATGAAAAAAGTGGGTTGGATGCTTGTCTGCAGTGCGCTTACCATGAGTTTACGTTAGGTGTGCTCGCTAGCGACTGTGTAAAAAAAAAAATGACATTAATTGTATGACATATTGTGCAGCGCCCCTAGTGGCTACTTTCAAGAAACAAAATCTTCATAGAGATTTTTGACGTACTCGCTAGCGAGCACACCTAACGTAAACTCATGGTAGGTACACTGATATAAGGATTTAGTGAACGTGATAGTTTAGAAAAAAGTGAAGCTATGGTTCACGACGTAGACTGTCGTAAGCTGTCAGGTGGTCATGAAGAAGTGTAGAAGCGTCGGGCACGCACCTCGGGAGGCGCGCCGCGCAGCCCCGCCAGCTCGTCGAACTCGTCGAGCGCGCGCTGCGTGTCGCCGCGGGAGCGCTGCGGGTCCTGCGCGCGCGCGCCGCGCAGCGCCATCGTGTCCTCACGCAAGCGCTACGCCCATCGCACAAGGGGATATCTGCAACAGAAGCAGCTGCGGTGAGTCACCTTCTTCACATTCTTAGCTTAGGCGCAGACCACCGATTTTTAGTTGTCCGATAATTGTTGTTGTATGGAAGTGCGCACATTACACCGATTTGGTATCGGCTAATTTTTCATACAAATTGGAAATCGATCCAACTATCGGCTAACTAAAAATCGGTAGTCTGCGCCTAGACTACGAGTAAGTGTCCTTTCTTATGAAAGCCTTATTGAACTTTATTTTTTGTATACCTATTCGTATAAATAAACGCATATTCAGCCCAAGGCAAGGTTGGACTTAAACTACAGTACAGCACATTATAGGTAATTTTATATCGATTTGAAATTAGGATAGTCAAAAATGCATGAGTCTCGAGGTTGGTTTCGCTAATACAATAATATTATTAAACCTGAAGCATTGGTCGCATTGTCCAAGTATCGCATTCATGTTCAAATTCTCATGGAAAATCCAGAATTTTGATGTAACAGGTATCCAACAGAATGTTTAGTATTGTGTTGAGTGCCGGTTAATGGTAGTTGACGTTTTCACCTGGTGAAAATAATGTCCTTGGCGGATGCGCGCGGTGAAATGGCGGCGCGTGCGCAGCGTGCCTGAGCGATGGGGCGGCGGAGGTTTTCTAGTCGCTAGCTATATTAAACCAATCTATTGGCAGTACAGGCACTAGTTCCAATAGATTGAAAGTAAGGCATTATTAGTCTAATTGAAGGACTTGAAAGCCTATTAGTATTCATTAGTCTAGCCTCATTAGTTTATTATAACAATGCTGTATAATTGCTCAGCTTACTTAAATGTCTTTACATTTCGATATTCGGGTTTTCTTCACGTCGTAGCGTATTTATTATTTGTTTCCCTTTATAGATATAGATTTATCGAGGTATTCATAAAACAAATAAAAAATCTAAAGATGAATGAATTAAAGGGTGATTTAAAAGTTAATTATAATAATGCCACAATCGATCATTTCTTGCGCTTAGATGATGCCAAGCCCAAGCGCCTTATACGGGCACGCGATGAGTGATCCCGAGGCTGCTGCGTAGGCCCGCGGCGCTGGTGGTGGGCGAGTCTGCTGGGATGACTGTTGCCAGAGTAGTTCAGTCAGGGCATTTTAAAGATTGTCAGTTTATTTATTTATTTTAATTGTATCATTGTAATTACCTTCTCATTAAATAATGTTAAGTATTGTAAGTGTATTGTCGATGATACTGAATAAACATATTTTCTTTCTTTCTATTTTATTACGTATACAAAACAGGACAATATCCAAGCAATACAATGAGTTTCTATACGTTTCTGGTTAATATTTTTTCTACCTAATCTTAAATTATGTGAAATCAGGTAAAAAATTTACAAATCCGTTTTAATCTCTATTTAAACATCTTTTGATGACCGTTTATTTGAACTAAAGGGAGTAAACTGCCCCAGCTTACTAAAATTAGTAGGTCAAATTATCATTTGTAACCAGTACTAGTATTTATTCCACTACACGACTGGCTGTATACACCGAGCTACTCGACTTCGGCGGAGATGCGCACGCACTGAGTCATGCGCGTGTGAAAAGCCTTCGCAAACAATGGCGGAGGCGGACAGCGCTATTAAAATTTATCGCCACAATGGGCAGTGTGTGGCTAACGAATAAAATTATATGCCTTATCTTTACGTGCCACCTCTGAGCTTTGTTTACTTACCGTTAAGGCTTTACTACACGCCCATCACCTGACACGTCTCGCGGACGCGGATCTGTTCTTAAATGCTCGTAAAGTTATACAGCCGTGTTGACACAAGTGGCTTAAATGAAGTACTTGTGTGATCAGTGGGTAGTGTTCATTGGAACGTTTCTAAAATAAAATATTATATTTCCAAGTACTAATCATAATAAATATTTCGATCGTTTTTCGATATTTGCAAGTCTGTATTACGACATACTTAAACGATTCACTAGGTTTATGAGTATATTCTGTTATTGGTTAACATCTACGTACTAATTCTTCAAGGCCCGTCCAAGGTGCAGCGTGAAATAGGAAAATAGGTCAAAACGAAATTCACAACGAACGATCAACATGTTTTGCAATAAAAAATAAAATAGTTTATTCTGTACATAAACCCTTTCCAGGGCACTTATTAATTTATTATACACGATCCAAATATGCTTGCCCTACCACCACTTCGGGACAACTTATGGGCTGGTGCTGAGAAGAAGTGGCGGAAAACTCAGCTTCTTTTTCAATCAAATACAGGAATTTATAACTTACATGTATCCTTTTTCATGAGGATTTTCTTAACCTGTACTTTGAATTTATAAATTGATAGTTCTATATTCTATTCTCTATTCTATTGCAAGTGTATTGTCGATGATACTGAATATACATTGTTTCTTTCTTTCTTTCTTCTTTCTATATGAGATATATCGATAGTATGTGCTTAAGTGGTCAAAAAAGCCATATTATTACGAGTATTCATGTGATTTTACGGCTTTTCATCTTAAAAAATCCTTGTCTAGCGAACAAAGTCGCGGGCATAGGCTACTATGAAATAAAATTATGAATCAAATGAATAATCGATCGCCCGCGCGCTTCATAGATATTAATTATACAGTCGCCGCTTTCGGTTTTTGCCGCAGCGGTAATGTTGCGGTAATCACTTACACAAGGCGGGAATCGAGAACGAATTAAACAAATACAGAAACTGAAACCTACTTTATATTAATTAAACATTTAAAGCGAGTTCGAAAAAGGAAGATGTTTTATCCTTCGAGTTAACCTCGCCTAATAGTGCATGTGAGAGTCGGATTAACGTCTCATACATATTCTATCTTCGATCGCAAAGGCGATCTATAACTCAAAAATCATTATATTAGTACGTGGCACAACATTATCATAATCTAGGTAGTATATTATCTTAATTATTACCTTTTATATCGCTTCCAATCTCAAACATTCCTTGTTTTTCGCGATAACTCTTATCGAAATGGCTACTAAAATTTTTTCGCGACTGCGTTCACGCAGATATTATTATTATTTTTGGTTCTGGAAAGGTAGTGAAATCACGAAAATGTGTTTTTAGGAAGAGTATCGCTATGAATTTTATCAGCTTTCAAGTTGTGAGTGTTGTTGACATAATTTAATGAGTTATTCTGCATTAGTTTGTATGTAGTATTAAGTGTACTGTGATAATGTTCCTATATTAGTCGCTCCTTTTGTAGATTATGCTAATGCCCTTATCGGCCAATAATGATAATCACGGGACTTTACAGTCATTTTATTCAAAATTACACAATATTATGAGAATATTAAAATATTCAATCTATCAAATAATACGAAGCTTATATTACATAGTTACGGAGGCCTGAAATACAGGGTGGCCCTAGTTTAGGCTCCAGATCGCACACTCAAAGCAACAATAATTGTTATCTTTCTTTACTACTATAATGTACGAGAATGAGTGTCTGATAAAATAATCAATTTTTATTTATTTATTTATATTAGTTATTATATTAGGTGATTGGACATTAGTGTATGATTTATCATACACATAACATAATTTTGCTTTATTTACATTGTATCATATTTTATGTATCATCAATTTCATAACAATTTACAAGCCACTTAACAGAAAATATTTAAAAAACATCTTTTAGTAAGATTTTCTGAACTTCTAGTGCGTAATTGCCAATTAGTGTACAACGACGCTAAAGAAACACTATAGGAAGAATATTGTTCAAATTATAAGGCAAATAATCCTAAGGGTGTGATGCGTTGATGTCTCCCGGGCGCGCGGGAAAAGACATCAACGCGCGCGCGCCGGGCGGGAGGGATGCACTCGTGGAGGGAAACTAAATTTTTTCTCAAGGTCACGGAAATTTGGCCAGCTGTGAACTTAACTACTGAAAAGTATTCAAACGGTTGGCAATTTTGAAAACAAATAAGACCACCTTACATAAAATCTATTGGCCATTGTAAACTGTTTATTTATTTACATACTAGCCTTTTCCCCCGGCTTCACCCGCGTGAAATTTAGTGTCACAGATCGGCATAAATTATAGCCTATTTATGTTAATCTGGGTTACAAAAAATAATACTGTAAAGTTTCAACAAAATCCGTTCAGTAGTTTTTGCGGGAAAGAGTAACAAACCTCCAGACATCCAGACATCCAAACTTTCGCATTTATAATATTAGTAGGATTATTACAGGTACAGTTACAGTACATAGAATAGGTACCTACCACTTATTCATAGGAAAATACAGCTACAAATCACTTACAAATCTATGAACTAAATGACTTTAGTTATTCGGTGGTATAAGGAAGGTTTAATTAAATATATTCTAAACAGCCTACGTGATAAGACAGAAGTTGTGCTAAACGAGAATCAGAAGAATGTCACAAATAAAACATTGCCGGATTTTTTGAGAAAATCCAGTATTTCCGGTAAAAAATTTAAGGTCATCAGGCACGACAAAAATATTGGTTAGTCTAGCACTCTGTGATGAATGTAAGCCGAAGGTTATAGCAGTCATGATATCATCGTGGAACAAATTACTGCGAAATCATCAATCGTGCTCGGCGCGTCACTTCGCTGTTTGTTTTGCCATATTTTGGCAAATATAAATCTCAGTAATAGTACGAGAGCCCACGACCAAAATTTTTGTCTCATAGCAATACGGCCAAAACCGCATCAAATCGATAGATACGATTATCCTGAACTCGAAAATACCAATATCAGACATTTTCCGCGTAGCGTTTGATCTGACCGAATTTTCAAAATTGTCAAAGAATTTTACCGAACTGCATCATAGCAATATGTCTGATTTGCAGACTGTAGTTGAATGATAGTTCTGAGATACCGGAAACATTATTTTCAGACGTTAGTGGTGTAGCGCAAACCCGTAAAATCACTTAAAAAAATTAAAAATGAGACAAAAAAAATGTCTCGTAGCAATACGTCTGAAAATCTTTTTTATTAGTAAATTTTGGTTATTTG